CCCCAGGATGGCAGTAGATTTTAACTGATGAGCCTCATAGGGGGAAGCAGAGGGAACCTCCGACCCTTGAAAGAACTGAGAAAAGTCAGTGTTGGTTTGTTGGAATATGGGTCATGGCACCAGGCCAGACCACACCAGATCACTGGTCATCTGAAGTTGAACTGATCGTTCCCAAGGCCTCTACAAAGCCCATTCAGGGTGAATTAATCTCTGGTCATGATCAGCACTAAGACTGTAGCAGTACCTAGTCTCAAAATGGAAGCCCATGGTCTGGGGATCCAGTATGATGCCTGTCACCAAGGGCTGTGCTCATAGCTGTGAGTGTTGGTATCCCTGGCTTGCTGGCACTTAGCATTGAGCTTGTAGTGCTAGTAGACTGGGAAGGCCATCGGCACAGAGGTGGGCACACAGATCACAAATAGTGTCCACCCCACCGGAAGGCCCTATGGTTTGTACGATTTCAAAAGCAGCCTTTTTAATCAGTCCTGCATTTTCTTCTGCCTGCCGCTTGTATTTCAAACATTCCCCTGCTTGGCAGCCACACCTTGGCTCCCTCCATGTAGACGGCCTGTTGTGGAGGCTGGAATGTGTGTGAAGGGGTAGAAGGAGCAGCAGACAAACGAAAGTACTTCCTGGCTTCTGTCAAAGCACTCCTCGAATTCTGCCACGCGGGTGTACAGGATTCCATTTGGGTGCCAGTCTGAGACCATCAATCAAAAAATGAAGACATTTCGAATATCCCAAGTTTCATTTAAAGATCAAATCTTAAAATTTGACTGTATATGAAGTATTTTCCAATGACCTTGAAATAAAGATAGCAGAGGACAATGACATGACGCCACACCAAAAGCAGCCATTCCGCCCCAGTTTAGTGTGGTGAACTGGTGCGTTCACTGCCATCCTCAGAGGCCCATCAATAAGAGGTTGCTTAAAGCAACACACAACTGCATCACTAAGATGCTGTGCTTGAGTGACTTAAGGCACTGCACCACTGGAGCTCATGCACAGCCTGCAGGCAACTGTGTCCCATCCCAATGAGAGGGTGTGCTCCCCCAGCGATTGCTGCTGCTGAGAGAACTCTACTGGACTCGGTGAATCTGTAATCTTCGGAATTTCCCGAGCCTTAGTTCACTTCCGGAGTCTCATGCACCTCCTCAGTTCCTTCTGTGAGGAAATGTTTCAATTCAGTGGAAATGGCTGCGTAACAGCTCCATCACAGACGGGCAGGGTTGTGTGGGCAAAGTCACTGCTTCCATTTGAGCTGAGTCTGGATCTCAGCCATTGCTCCTAAGAGGTCCATGTCCATCGCCAGGCAAGTGTTCTGGACTCCGACTTCTTGTTCTAGGACGCACAGATCTCAGTTTCGGTGGGATTTGACCCATCCCATGCTTGTATTTCCATGCACACATCCCAGGGTTGCATACCAACAAGAAGGTCTATGATGATTTTCAGCGTGTTTTCCGAAAATTCTATCACCTGATGACTTCTCCTGCATTTTTTACAGTTCAGGACTTTTGCCTTTCCTGTTCCTAGTGATAATAAAAAGGGTTAAAATGTCATAAGCTTGGATACACACAGTGGCTCAACATGTACTTGCTTGTGACCTGGGCTATTACTTCACCTCTGTGAGTCTCTACCTCCTTTTCCATAAAATATGATACCTCACGAGTTGATGAGGAGATTTGTAAAAACAGGAACTGTACGTAGCAGAGGCCTGGCATGCGGTAGGTGCCCAACATGGTTAGTCGGCTCTATTGTCTTTGCTTCTTTTTTATACTCAGTTTTATGTACATATGTCTGCTCCATGTCTGGAACAGTGAGCAAAGATTGTTCTTGATCGTCAGAGAGGAAAAATTAAGTGAAAACCAGAAACCAACACCACAGATTCCTCCCCATTTTTAAAGGAATGAGGATGAAAGAAGAAAGATGCTTTAGGTCTCTCTCTCCTTCCCTGTCCTCTTCCTTCCCTCCCTCAGTCCTTAGTTCTCCACTTACTTGCTCACCAGAGCGGAGTGGCAGTTATCTCCGAGATATTCAGGGTGGACAAGCCCAGAGAAGTCAGCAGTAACTTGAAAGAGAACAGAACTGGCCACCACTGTTGGACCTTTGCCCATTAGGACTATGAGATAAAAGCAAATCATGACCAAAGGCTTCGTAGCAAAGTCAATAAGTTACTGCAAAACAAGTTCTCAATGACATCACCTATCTGCTTTAATAAACTGCTTTAGAAATATAAACTGACAGGGGCTGGAGAGGTAGCTCAGTGGTTAAGAGCACTGACCACTCTTCCGGAGAACCCGGAGAACCCAGCACCCACATGGCAGCTCAGAACTGTCTGTAACTCCAGTTCCAGGGGATCTCACACCTTCACACCAACACACACAAAATAAAGTTAAATAAATTAAAAAAGAAATATAAACTGACAAAAATACGTGGGCAGTTGGCTAGATTAACAGATACTGCCTGGACTCTAACATAAGAATCAGGGCATATGGCGTAGACAGGGCTCTTATCCTTGAATGTTCTTGCTAAAACAAGGCTGGCTTTTGTGGTATCAGGCATTTATCTAAGTTGCATTTCTTTCAATCAAAGACCCCCAATTCAGTTTTTGTTCTCTGTAGCCCATCTATACAATTGTTTTCATGTCTGTGTGCTTACATGTCAAATCATATATAGTTACAATCTTGCTATTTTCAGAGTAAGGTAGCCTAGCCTCTTTCAACACACATTCATCATTATACAAACAAAGAGACAGGACAACATGCCACATTTTTTTTAAGTGACTATATTGCTTCTGAGGAAGAATCCTTCCATGTATACTTTTTTAAAAAAAAAAATGTAGCCAAGAAAGCAATGAACTGCAATCTCGTCACTTAGATGTCCAGCCTTTAAGAGTTATTCATGACTAGAAAATGACTACACCCTATTTCCTGCCTTTACTTAGCTTCTTGGAACACATACGGTATTCCTGAACACCATGCCCTTCCTCCACCCTTTTTCCACTCCATCACTCACCGCAGTGAAAAGGTGATAATGTCCCATTATCTGGCTTGATGCCGTGCGTGTTGGACTGTCAGGCCAAAAACACATGCCCAAGGTAGCTGACATTAGCGTCTCCCTGCCACAGCAGCCGGTGCTGATTCTGTGGGCTTAGCCAATGGCATCTGATACTGTGCTAGAGTTTAACCTTTCTCCTGCTCAGGCCCAGGCTGCTGATATAACAAGCTTTATACACCTCTTACTGTCTACAAGGCTATGGGAGAACAAGACTCTTTAGACCCCAATAAGAACACAAAGCCCATGATCTTATCCTTTTATACCTGATTTTCTCCTTTTATACTGGAAGACTGTCTTGCCTCTTTGTGCATAGTCATCACTCTATTGCCATGAGAGTGTGTTACAAAATTAGGCCAGCAAAAATTCCCACAAGGAAAGGCACTAAATGCTGATGAGCTACATGGAGCAATAATAGCAAGAAGCAAGGTCTTAACTGGAGTCTTGTTAAATTTTTAAAAGTTTTATTTATTTGATGTGTATGCCTGTGTATGTGCTGCACACAAGTGACACCCAGAGACACCAAAAGAGGGTGTGGGATCCCTGGAACTGGAATTGTAGGTAGTGGAGAATGGCCATGTGGGTGGTGGCAATCCATCCCAGGTCCTGTGCTTTTAACCACTGAACCATCTCTCCAGCTCCCTGTTACACTTTTAATTGGAAGTTTCTAGTTAGTAGTTGGGCTGCTTTTCATTCTGAATCAGCCAAAAGTGAGAACAACCTGCCCATGTGCTTCTCAACCCAAAGAATTTTATTCATCAGCTCTAGCTTAGAACTCCATACATTTTCCATGGGCTTTTTTTTTTCCTTTTAACATCAAACACTTCTAAAGAGCAAAACAAAACAAAAGAGAGGAAAAGTTCTGATTACTCTCATGTGGTTCCTCACATATGGTCAAACTGAGTAGCAGTTTCTGTACCCAAGCTCCCTGGTTCCCAGTTCGCAGGCCTGTGTGTGTGTATAGAACTCTCCTGCAGAGAGCTCTCCCCAGAGTCCTATGCCAGAATTCCCGGACTCCAGAGTCTGTCTCTGTTGTTGTTTGGGGATTTGGGGTGGTTATTTTTGTTTGTTTGTTTGTTTTGTTTTTTTAAAGACTATCCAGTATCTCTGCCTGTGTCTGGCTTGCTACCATCACTCCATTCAGAAGTAGTTGTTCGACTAACATTGGGTTTGTCTTTCTCCCTCCTTCTCTGAGACCCCTTCACGTGTGACCTTACTAAAAGCCTTTACAAGCATTCCCACGGCTCAGCAGGTTGTCTATGGTCTTTGCAAGGATCCATACATCCTATTCTTGGCAGCAGCTTCAATGTGACCCGCACTTTGCATTTGTTTCGTGGTGATTAAAAACCGGGTAAGTGAACAAACTAAAGGAGCGTGGCTGGGTGCTTAGTAAATAACCCTGAACAGGTTGTCTCTTTAGGTCTCATCTGTAAGAGCCTTTGATGCTCCATCGCATGGTGGTTCAAGGGGGTCTTTATTCACCTCTGGTGTTAACATAGTTATAAAAGTTTGTTTTTTCCCTTTGGAAGCATTTTATTTGATTAATTCTATAATAATGAAGGCTGACATCTTATACGCAGGGACCCTTGCTTATTTGAAATGATTTATTGAAGACGTTTAACACAGCTACCCCTTTCCCCGCTTTTTTAAACCTAGTTGCGCTGACTTTAGGAAAGGCAAAAGGCTTTTTCTAACTTTCATGACCTGATAGGGTTCCTATGGTGGTGCTTGTTCGGCCCCTCCGGAATTCTCTGTGCCTCTCACCTGTCTCAGCTCTAGGGTTTGGGGTCTTTTCCAGCCCCAGGCACTTCCAATCCTCTATTTGCTTTCAGCACTGTGTGAAGGGTCTGGTAAAGCCTCTCGGCCCGGCTCCGGCTGGCGAACACGCCCAGTCCCCTCTCCTCGTGATTTGATTGGCTCCCGAGGTCACATGAGGAAACCGGAGGGTTGGAATTCTGACTTGTGGCTTTTGGCACTCCTTTTTCTTTTTAAAAATCGCTGGGTCTGTGGCTCTCTCCTGGGAATCGGTGACTTTGACCGAGGCTGGAGACAGCTGTGAACAGCCGCGGACAGCTGAGGTGGCAGTGGGAACTACCACGAGATGTTCAGCCAGGTGCCCAGGACCCCGGCTGCAGGCTGCTACTATCTAAATCCCATGACACCTGAGAGCCAGGAGATGTACTTGCGATTTGATCAGACTGCCAGACGCTCTCCCTACAGGACTAGCCGGATCCTAGCACGCCAGCACCTAGTGACTAAAATTCAGCAAGGTGAGTTGCGGGCACTGCCAGGGTGCCGCTCATTTCTGTTGGCTCTGTCTTGTGCTACTTAGAAAGTTATTGTTCGCACTGTACACCGCACAGATTCCTATGCCACGCTGCATGGAACTCTTCCAGATAACTTTAGACTCCAGTTTTAAGCAGTCTGTGACAGCACTGAGAGCTGCATAACTCACAAAAATATTTCCCAGTAGGACATGAATCACGAATTCCAAATCCTCCGTGTGTCAACAGAACAAATGAGAAAGGTTTACCCAGTGTGTGTGTGTGTGTGTGTGTGTGTGTGTGTGTGTGTGTGTGTGTGTTGGGGGTTTCTTCCCGGGTAACTTTCCCGCAGGTAAACTCATACTCCAGTCACAGTTTAAAAATGGACACATGTTTTTTAATTAGGGAGAGACCAGAGAGCTAGGGACTAATGTACACCCTGCCTGGAGTTTACAGGACACCTTCATTGAAGAGAAACGGTGAGAGTGTATGCTGAAGGCCCCTGAGCTGACAGCTTGAATTACATTCTTTTCCTGTCCGTGTCACTGATTTGTTGATACTGTTTTCTTGCTAAAGGATAAAAGTGACTCTTCACCTCATAACAGAGCCTGTGACACACACTTAGGAACACTGGCTTCCTGAGGCAAGGGGACAGTACTGATGAAAGGCTGCTATGTGACCCTTTTTAATTCTCAAAGGAAAAAAAAAAAAAAAACCTTGTACCCTGAACATTAATAAAACTCATGTTTTGTTTAAGCATGTTCTGTTTGTGGCAGAGCCAAAGAATATAAAGGAAGCCCCTGAACTGGTGACCATTTAAAAGACAGACAGGTCCAGATCCACAGTCAGTAAATAGTCACCTAACCACAGGCTACAAACCTAACTAAACCATTCCATTGGCCCTACCAGGAATTTCAAGAGCTGTTGTGAAAACAAGAGTTCCTACTTAGGTACATGTCTTTGAGATTATATTGAATTTTAGAGGGGAAGCTAAGGTCTGTAATCTTAAAAAATCTCACTATAATGTCTCCAAGAGGAACAATACATATTCCAGCGGGCGACATTTAATGAGATTGTTTCCTTGGGAATGAGCATTTGTTTGTGAAGGTTCAGGAACTGGCTATGTGTGAAGGATACTGGTGCCGCATACCATTCTGATTGCAGGAAGGATATTAAGTCACTCCATGAACTCTGTGTGCAAGTCTCACATGAATAGAAACAAAAGTATTCCCTGTGGTTTGATTTAAAAATATATTCAGCTGAGAATAAGAAGCAAGCCTATGTTCTACCCATCCATGTTCATATAATGAGTTTATCATATTAGAAATATCCTGTCTTTCCAGTCCTCTTTATATGTATTGTTTGTTTGTTGGTCATTCATTGATTTTTCATTCTTTGAGGATGATGGTTGTTTTTCATGAATTACCATTGAAAGTGGGTCATTCTTACATATGAGTGCTATATCCCTGTCTGTGTGTTATTTTGAATAATTAGTAAATTTGAGGAGCCTATATATACATTTGTTTCATACGCGGTAATGGAACAACTGAAGCAATAGGAAGCATGAAAAAATTCCCACCCTCTAGCGATTCACAAATCATGATGGGTTAATATCATACAATGTTTAGTGAGCAGATACAAAGTAATTTTTATCAGATTTACTATATTGATATATTGGTTTCTTCTCACAGCACAGGCTATTAATGCAGCATTGGCAACATATCAGGGTGTGAGAACTACGAATGGTAACTTATTTTTCTCTCAAAAAAAGTGCTAATAGTTTGGTGCCATTTTAGATCCATTGTAAAGATGAGAAAACAGAGGCACATGGTATTTAGAGTCATATGGTGGGACTGGCATTTGAACACAGATAGATAGATAGATAGATAGATAGATAGATAGATAGATAGAACGCTGGACCAATGGATGGGTTTTGGCTTCTGTCATATGCCAAAGATCTCCTAACTAGAGACAGCAAGGAGTCCATTACAGAATACCAGTTGGCTACTCAGTGTGTGATTTCCAGTTAGATTTTATTTCTAACTGGAAATAGAAGAGCAACATAGTAAAAGCAACAGACTATGAGTTTGGGTCTGTGGATAGTACCCAGAAGTACAGGATACCAAGTTATGTTGCCAACAACTGTTAATCGTTCCATTAGAGTGCATATAAAATCAATACAAGTATTCTATTTATATATCAACATCTTAGAACGATGACCTCAGCAACAAAATGTCAGCATCCTGCTTTAGATGTTTCAAAGAAACTTTTGCATGTATTAATATCATTTGCAGCACCATTATTATGATTTCTTGTGGCTGGGGGGTGGTACAGAGAGGAGCAAGTTGCTCTCGGATGACCTCATTCTAGTGAGCTAATCATTGAATGGCATGGGTGTGATTCAACAACAGATCCACGCATGGGGGGGACAAACAAGGGAAAGAAATAATGGAATCCTTTGATGATGCCCGAGACCAGAACTGTTAGCCAAACCCAAGATGAATCAAAGCTTGCTTGTCTTAGGGCATACTCCAAAAACATGCACACATCGGTTATCTAGCATCTTATACAACTGCTATGTAGTCAATTCCAGCTAAAAAGAGAGAGAGGTTTCAAACAGAGTGTCAGAGGGCAGAGTGAGAGAGCACCAGAAGTCACAGCGCTCTAATCCCTGTCCTTTCCAACCCGTTCTTGCTTGAATCAGTCTGGAAATTGTTGTGGCAGAAACAGAAAGGAAACGACAGCGGTCCTCACTAGGACCTCACTAGCTGTTTCCTTCAGTAGGAGGCACTGTAGAGAGAGAACAGAGGAAGTGGGTGTGGGGTATAGTTAGGCCATGGCAAGAGAGAACTCGATTTGTTTTCCAGTTTCATATAGTAAAATATGTACAACTTCAATTTACCACAGCAGCTATTTTTTTAGTAGGCTGGTATTATAACATTTATTAAAATAATGCTATGGGTTTATAGAAACAGCAAAGAAATAAAATGCAAGCTATGTAAAATCCCAACTAAAACCCGTAAGTGCCTAATGTATTCATTCATCAGCTAACTAAAAGCCCAAGAAAGACAAGACACCCGATATAATAAAGTGCCACAGCAGCTGTTTTTAAGTGTATTGGATGGTCATTACCACAGTGTTTGCAGCCACTGGTACTGTCCACCTCCACTGCTCTTTGCGTCTTGCTGGAACTGGAATTCTGAATAAGCCCATGGAACACTAGCTTCTCTTCCTCCCATACTGCAGCCCCTGCCAACCACTGTCTTAACTTTTGCCTGAATTACAGTAGTTTCACTAGATTTGTTTCCCTGGGAATGCTGGGTAGTAGTCCACTGCATGTCTATACCATATTTCCTTTTTTATAAATAGTTACCATGATCAGCATACTGTAGGAGAAGTGACTTTCCAATGTCATTATTTTAGGATATCGAGAAACATCATGCTTTCATACCCCCCCCCCCCCACACAAAAATACTAATTGGAAAAGAAAA